ATTGATACGTCGTTTTTTGTCAACTTCAATAAGTTAGAATAAGTAAGATAGTATAAGTTAGAACGAGGCAACATGTATAAAAAAAAAACAGTATATATACCTTTTTTTCTCATTCATGTTTTGACAAAATTGCTCCAAGCGAGACTCTGTTACAGAGTTTCTATGCAAAATACGTCACCAACTAGCACGATGGCCACGGTATTCAAATTTATACATTTGCGATAGAACAATATATATGCTGTGCAGCATTACAAGTGACCGATAAAACGAATAAAGCAAAATGCAAATAATTGTAAATCTATATTAATAACACGTAACTGCCTTTATGTGCGCCGTTTCCTGTTGCACTTTGATCACAACAATCCCGTTTATCGATAATCGAAATAATTAAAAAGATTTTGAAAATTTAAATTGTAATTTTTAAGCAGTGAAAGGAAAATTAATACCTGTGATTTAGAAGTAGGGTGTAAATTATTATATAATATATTACAATATTATAGAAAAAGGAGAGGTTATTCTATATAAATGTTAAAATAAATATAAATATATTTTAATTTATATATATATATATATATATTAAATGAGAAAATATCTCAAATCTCGTTGTTCAATCATCTTTGTTAAATCAAGTGGAAAATATTAGTCTTATTTTCTAGTTTCCGATGAAATGGTTAATGATTTCGTCGGTTATTACGTCGGGGAATAAAGCGAGATCTTTACGAACATGATAAAACAAGGTGAGCATTCTATTTTACGACGCAAACTTTCCTTCATGATGTAAATGTTCTAACAACAACGAAAACCATTCCTTCGAAAAGATCCCAGAGGATTTTGTCGGAACGCTTTCCGGAGGAGAACGCGGTTTTTCCGGTTCTGCTCGTCTCTCGCGACGCGAGAGGTAACGAAAGTTACAGGACAAATTCTAACAACGGCAAATATCACAACACCGCAATCTCGACGCATTGTAAAACAGGACGTCTTCGTGTAGTTTACGATAGCTGCTTTTATAACGTGGCGCCATTATATGTTTGCGTACGTTCGTCGTGCGATTCGCGTTGGCTCGGGAAATCAAGGTAAAAGACTCGTTGCCTGTATAAATGAAGTAATCGATAATTCTCATTTTCTTCTACATTTTCGGCTGAAGTTTGATATAGACGACCTATAAGACGCTTTACATTTTAGAATAAAATTCTATTTATGTATTGATGTACATTCAGAATTCTGTTAGAATATTTCAACGAGACTTCTAGATCGTTCGATACATTGTGTATTATTTTGACTTTCAAGCGATCTTAACTAAGAAAGATGTAATATACAATGTGTATTGAACGATCTAGAAGCCTTGTTGAAATATCAGAAATAACAGAATTCTGAATAATATATATTAAAAAAATATACGTATATGTATCATATATTCTATATATGTATATATTCTGATTTTTTAAACATAAATTCTTAAAATTGCATAATGCGTATAAAATTATAAACAGAAATATATTGAGTTCTAATGCAAATTGTAGATAATTTAAAATGAGTCTCTAATTATTATGACATTGTGACATTTAATGTTAATAAAGGAAAGAGATAACTTTGATACATTACAGCAATTATCTTAATAATTATAATTATATATTACAATATAATAATATTACAATAATAATAATTATTTGTCATAACACAAATTATTATATCTTGTACGATAAATTATGTTATATTGAAGATCTTATGTAGAAAAATATTGCTTATTTGCAGCAGTAAATGCAATCCCAATGGTACTTTTCGCATATAAAAGTAGTATTCTTTCAAAAAATTCCATTTACAAGGAGAGCCACTTTGTCACGCGATTACATTCAACGGTTGGCGCATAGAAAAACAAGGTTGAAAATTCATGCGATAAGAAAACTGTCGCTAATACGGAAACGGAAATGCAAGCCCGCCGATAACGTTGCTTTCTTGGAAACAAAGGTTCTTGTTTAATAAAGCTACAAAACTATTACCTATTGCGTTAACGCTTGATGATACGAATGACGTCTTTCTGTGAGAATTTACTTGTAAAATATTTGCGTATAAATAAGAATTATACTTTAGGTTTATCCTGTATTCAACGAAAAAATCTTTAACAATGCAAACATATAACAAAAGGAACGCGTAAGAAATAAAAACTTGTCTTGTTTTATTTTAAAAAAACTGCAGAAAACTGAAATAATTGTGATAATCGGTATGTGAATGAGTAACGTAATTGTCTCTAAAATACTAAAAAGGAAATATATGTCGCTCATTTGCTACAACAATGATAGTGAAAAAACAAAGTTCTCCAGAAAATAAGTTTAAATGTTGCGAATTTGACATTTTTATTAATTTTAACGCCCGTCATTCGTGTTCAATACATTTTTTTCTTTGAAAAACTAGTGGCATCAAGTAACTAGTTATATAACTTTTATACATAACTTTAAAAAAATAATCACCTTATAAAAAATTTCTAAAGATGTAAAGCGTTAGGAATTACGTAATAATTTTTGTATATATATATATATATGTTAAAATGATAAAAATTAGCCGAGATACAATTGACATAGATGACCCATCGTGTGTAAATTGAATTTTGTTGTAATATTGTGTCTAATTGTGTAGACGAATAAACATATGTTTTTATAAACTATGTTCTTTCTTTTTCCATTTTGTTTCTGTTTTTTTATCCGAAAATCCAAAATGACAATTATTTAGTTACATCGTTATTACAGCATATTTGTTGTAACAGCGACGTAACTAAAGAATACATATATGCTGTAATAATAAAATGTATGTAATATACAGCTATATATAATAATGAGATGTATATATATATAACGTATCAACGATCGTCAATTCGTCTTATTTATTTTCATCACTTTAATAAATATAAAAATTATATATTAAGTATTAAGTAATTCTTACATATACTTTACTCCTGTATTCCGTTATTATACAAAGAGAATGCGTCGACATTATCTGTTATCCATAGTACAATTATAATACCAGTTAAAGTGTCAACGAAGTTCCGCCATTAACAAGACCGCATCGTTATTTACCTATTCCCTTTTCCTCGACATTCTCGCGATTCCTCCGGGAAACTTGCCGAAGAATCGTAAAGAACGGAATTTTTGCGGGAATTCGCGTAACTTCTTGTCAATGCGATTCTCTCACTTCGCTCTTTCTCTCTTTGTTTCTTCTTATCTCCCTTTCTGTCAAGGAGTAATACAAAAGAACGGCGATGAATCACCGTCGAGTGGACCATTGACTCCCACAAAGAGACTCAGAGAAGAAAAAGGAAAAATCGAGGAAATATGTTTCGCGAAACATTTCCGGAACTATCAGACGCTTCTAACTTCTTTCTCACGAGAGTGCTCTTGATTCTCGATCATACGGAAATTCTGCAATTCCTCGAGGAACAATATAGAATCGATCTGTTATCAGATGGTTTCAACATCATAGATTCTCGTTTAGAATACATTCGAGCAATTTACAAACATTTATGTAAAATGCATATAAAGGAACTTTCAATTTTCGATCTTACAATTAATTTCTATCTGTTGATTTCTAAAAGATAGATTTTAATTTTCACGATTTATCTTTATGAAATGGAATCTTAATATTTATATTTGATTTAGTTTGTTAATAATTTTCGAATTGATTTTGGTACCGATTTAAATTTCAAAAAAGATTACTTAAGAATTTTAGAATTATCGATAATTAGATATTTCAATTATTTTACAATTATTCTTGTCTGTATTTTTTTTCATTCTTTATATGTATATACCTATAGACATTCACACAAATTTCGAAATATATTTCTGCAAAATCGTAATACATTTAAATTTTAGCAAAACAATTTTCTTCATAAATTTAATAAAGTACATGTGTGTATTCAATATGCTTTGTAAATGGCTATCGTCGCATTCATAGTATATCGTATTTTAAAAAACAAAAATCACTCGTCGGACAATTATATTACAAATATGGACTTCAGTCGCAATTTCAGCTAGACATTTTTCGCTTATCATCAAATATTATTAACTCCGACCCGGAGTTTTATATTTATGGAAGTATTTGATTTCGCGTTTGATTTAAGACTTCTAAAAGAGACCACCGTGATCGAATTTAAGCGAGGGTGGTCGTGAAAGGTGAACCGAATTGCTGCTCGTGTGCGAAACTGTCGTCGGTATGCACGGCAGCATCAGGCGTGACCACGTTGCTAAAACGATGAATAATAATATTTCACGATCACTAAAAAGAGACGAGAAGACAAGTCGCACGATGAGTCGCGACATTATTTCGCTGTTGCGTCGAGAAATCTCGCAAGAGTCACCACAGGATTATTCTCATTAGAATAGATAACTTATCGCCGAGAAACGGTTCTCGCCGATCCCACATTGTAAATCTCTCAAATTGGATTTATAGCCAGGATTACATTAGCCAGAATAACGCAATGCGCGCGTACACTGTGTAAGTAATCTTGCGACTAATTTCTTCCTCCCAAACAAGCTAAACTAATCTTATTGTATGAGGAGAGAAAGAGAGAGAGAAAGAGAGAGAGAAGTACATTTTTACTCTTTAAGTGCGTCATAAAATAAGCGCTTAAATATGATTAATGATAAATACACGTGTACGCCTTTAATCCTCCGATTTTTTGCATATAAGTCCATAATTATGAGGATATTCCTAATCGTTCATAATGCTTTTTAATGTAATGCAATAAATATCGATAATTCATCGATAATACGTCCTTTCATTTAGCAGGAGAGATAATATCGTTAACATTTAATAATCTTCCATAAAAAATCAGAATTGATTTTCATATTAAACATGTTGCACACGTTTCAATATATATAGTATACACTGCTGTTATATTATAGGCATATATATAATAATACGAAAAACATTTATTCGGAAAATAATTAATTAAAGTGAAACTAGCTTTTTGGCTTGACTAATTATATTTTTTACAATTCAAAACAACTTACTTGTTCAACCGTTTAGAAAAATTGACGACCACCATCTCGGCCTATTTTCGAAAAAAGGAGCTGGCTCACTAAATTTACGGTAAGCTCGAAACGAGATGGACCATCGTGACTGGGAAGCTTCTGCGTTCGCCCTGTGAACGATCGTCGCTCTCGAGATCATTTTCAGTGCCCTCTGTTTCTGCATCATCCTCGGGAGAGAAGCGGCGAACGCGACGCACGCGATACGAAACGCGCCGAGATACTGAGCCCAAACCAGAACGAGGCCTGGTCACTCCGGAGTGCTCTTCCAGAAGAGGAAGAGGGTCGGGTGAGAGTAGGGAGACACAAACGCGCGCATGCGTCGTGATTATATCGTGGAATTAGACGATTGGATAGTTCGCGAGATTCGCGAGGAGGATTCTCGCTCCTGTCCTCCCCGATGGACCTCGGAAAAACGCTCAGGAATTTGCAAAATTTTCCCCAACCCTTCCTGGTTATTTTGAAGTATCAACATATTTCTCGATGTTCCCCATGTTTCTCCATTTTCGAGAATTTAAAATATGATTATGATTAGCTATAATATTTTACAGAAATGCTAACAAAATCTCAAATAAAAAATAACAAATCGTAATTAAATATAATCAAATTAATTAAGATATCATTTCGATTTATTTCTTGTAAATTATTAATTGAGCTCTTTTCAAATCTTTTGAAAACCTTTGAAAAAATTTTATTCTTAATCTTATCAATATTTTTTATTATCAATATCAATATTTTAATCTTATCAATCTTATATTATAATCTTATCAATATTAGTCGACATTAATTTAATAATATTAATTTTGTTATTTATGTTACAAAAGTAAAAATATGAAAGATGTAATAGAATCATAATGTCAAAGTAAAACAGAAATAATATTTGATGTACTTGTGCACATAATAATATAATAATTAATTAAAATTGAATATCTATATATAAAATGAGCTTTCAAAAAATTATTATGCTAAATATACTGTAAATTTTTGATAATCTGTATTTATTTGTAGTAGTCCCTCTCTCTCTCCCTAACGTAAAGAAAAACGATAACTATAAAGTCATACATTGAGAGAAAGAGAAGACCAAAGAGAATTACCTACTTAAAAATTTATACTCGTTAATTGTAATGAATAAAACGGGAACAAGTTAAAAATAATTTCTGATATTTATAAATTGAATAAAATATACCGCAGTTTTATTCATATACTTGTTAAAAATTATTAAATCATTTATTTGATACAGAATAATTTTTAAAAATTTTACTTTAATTTTTTTAACAAACGATAGCATTTGTTATTGAAATATAATTTCGAATCGATACAGAGTATTTTAAATTATGTCGATCTTTAATTATATACGCGTGATAATTAATTACATAGTGTTGAAATATAATTAAAACTTATAAATACTTATTTAAAAAACGGTGATATTTCAGCTTACAATTAGCGTAGTGTTATAGTTACATGAACATTATATATCAGATGCCTCATATCAGCACTGAATAAATCACAAGTGTTGATTACTAATGAGAAGAGTGAAAATAACTCTTCGCAGTCTTCACCCTCGCAATTAAATCTCCGATTGCGTAATCGAGAGGTCGGCGATTTGCTTTCATCAGCGAGTTGCGTCCTCGTGAGGAATCTCGCAGCTTCCCTCTTCCCGCGACTCTTTCTTCTTTACGATTATCTCAGGAAGCCAATTCCGTACCTCAGCGAAGACGAAGGAATAAAATGAACTTTCGTATAATTGCATCCGTCGCGTCTCAGAGATCTTCTAATGCGATTTACAGCTCGTCCAGCCAAGGAGAGCAATCTTTCGTCATGGTTTCCAGATAAAATTCACGAGATCACCATTCCGCGACTCAACTCGTCGATTATTAATCCTACTATTATTAAAGTATCTTTTTACAATTGCAACTATCACAAAGATTATAAGTAAAGAAAATATTCTAAGTATCGTTGCACATTACTGTTCGCAGATATTTAGTTTAATCAAAAAATACAAAGATATAATAAAAATAAAAGTACTTTCTGACTCCAAGGATAAATCAAATATAAATGATTTGCTTATAAGAATCTCCGCGGTTTTCAATCCAAAAATAATATGTATATTTATGAGGTAATAAGATACAATTTGTAAACAATTCAAACATTTCGATTTTGAGTTTAAATTCTCTTTAATGCGGAAGTCACAAATAAAAACTGAATTTTAATGTCTTATATTATTTATGTATTTTAATAACTGCGAAAGTTTTCATAAGGTAGTTTAATTATATTTAAAATAATAAGATTATTATATTTAACCATACATCATCGTATATTTTTTACATGTTTCTTAATATTGTATGCCACACGCAATATCTTTTATATTTAGACTTTCGTGATAAATAATGATGCGAAAATTAATAAGATTAAAATTATAAAAAATTTAAAAGGATTCAAAGTACAGGCTCCATTAATTCTTCGCGAAATATAAATCGGAGCGATATCGTTCTATACCTACATAAAACAGCGTTTCGTGCGTTTCATAGTATGCATCGGGTCGAAGCTAAACGAGGCGTATTTTTTTCGGCACAAAGACTCCTAAGGTGCAGCAGACGACAAGGGAAGCCATTGTCTCGAGCCCGTTCTCTCGCTCGCGACACCCGGCACACGTATGCACTCGAAAGCGCGAGGAGGCGTTGTTCCGACTATCGGCGATAATTGTCCCTTATCGAAAGAAAGAGTGCGAGACCTCGAACATGTGTGCAATTAAAAGTCAGCATGACAATAGACTAACACCAACGACATTTAAGCAATTCGCTGCCTTCCCACGTTTAGACCAGCATGCTGAATTTTGGCACGCTGTTAATGGAACAACACGAAGTTCTCGCTAATCGTGCAGATAAACTTAATTGACGCTCTTATTTCGTTATAGAGGACATGAGTCCAACAACAGAACGCGAGAAATTTTTTTCTAATATTCCATATTCCTTCAAGCCATTATTCAATTCCTTCAATGTCATTAAAAAATTTATTAGATTTAAAATATTTTATAATACATAAATTTATTTTAATGTTAGAAAATTGTAAAATGGAAAATATTGCAATCATAAAATTACGAAATGTATACCTAATGTTAATTTTTCACGATAAAATAAGCAATGCAACTGTTTCGTTTAAACATATGTTTCATTTTCAGATTATCCTAATTTCTGAACTTGTAATTAACCAGCAAATGATTGTTTCTCGAGGATTTTTCGAGAAACAATCATTTGCTAGTTTGAAGACTTCGTTAGAAAATTCGACACACGGTGTTGGTTGAAAAGCACTGAGTCAAGATATATTCTTTGAAACAGCGACCTCATGTTGCGACGTCGCATCGTGCATGCGCGTGCATCCGTAATGCATATTCTCCTGCATCTGGTTTCATTTATGACCGCATCGCATTGTGATTATGTGCCGTACAGGTGTTCCTAATGGGTGACAACATCCGAGGAAACTTGAGGCCCGAAATTACCGTGTCTCTTCCTTCCACTCGATACATTACACAGAGACGTATATAATCAAGGATCGACATAATGTAAAACGCCCTATATCGATTGAAAATTATATTCCGACAACAGATGTTCGTTTTATAAAAAAATTAGAATAAGATTATATTTTAGTTTATATGTATATATTATATAAGCAGACAGTAAAAAATTAACAATATTTTTTTTAAATAATTCTTTATCATATATAATTCAATAATTTTTTAATAACTGTCTATTACATAATTCAATAATTCCTGACAAGTCAAAGTACAAATAAAATGTATATTTGTGAGGACAGATTTCGTTGATCAATCATTTCCATTATTCATTCATTGATTAATGAGTATAAGCTTTCAAGTAGAGAATTATTTTATTCTACAGTTTTCAGTGTATGATTAATTACATCACTTCATTTTACGCTAGAGAGAGAGAGAGAGAGAGAGAGAGAGAGAGAGAGAGAGAAAGAGAAAAAGAGAGGACCACAAATAATTACAAATTATCAGAAATTTAGCAGTTTAACAAAATAATTTTTAGAAAATCTGTAATTAATCTATCGTTATTATCCGAGATGCAGCAATTATCGCATTATCGGCGTGGATTAATGGCGACAGATGAAAGCCCGAAGCGACATATACTTCGACATTATCTCTCTGTGAGGGAGTTTTACTCCAGAAAAGCAGACGACTAAGATCTCGGTATTAGACAATTTATATCACATGACAGATAACTGTGGTTTAATATCTCGTCATCCCTTAACATCTTATTCTGCCTTTTACTGAATACCGCAAAATCTGGTTATATTATATTAAATTTATTTTATCCAATTATTATTAAAATTCCTCAGACTAAAACTTCCGTTAAAGCTACGGTAAATTTAAAAAATAAAAGTTTAACAAAAGATAAAAATTGCAATAAAATGTTAAAACTAGATGAGAGATCAACTCTATCGTATACATTTCTAGTTCTAAATATTCTCATATTTTCAAGAGTTTTTCGCTTTTGTACATGTAATCTATTTTAGATTGATTGATCTGATCCTAAAATGTCATCCAGCATTCTGTCAGCAACTTGTGCACTTAGATAACTACGTACTAGTCGAAAATATCAAACTTTTGACATTTTCTCTTCAAAACTGTCTCTCTCAATTATTCATTTAGTTATCTAGTTGAAAGCAAATGCAATTGATTTATCGCGTATTTCCAAAAACGGAAAATAATTATAAATCGGTAATATTTAATACATGTCTATGCAAATTTACCATCGCACGTCGCATGTGTTCGAAAATATATTTCTCTCGAAAAGTTTTTGGAGAAAGAACACAATTTTCGAAGTGTGCGTTATATTTTACGATGTAGCTTCGATATTACTGAAAGGCGGATGCCATCCGCAAAGGGCGACGGGCGGCGTTGGCGATATCGTCGGCGATACCGTTGACGATAAATAACAGACTCGAATGGAGATGATAAAATGGTATCGTCACTAAACATTTCTAGTTCGTGTGGTCCGCGAGATATCTGCTCCACGCGC